AAAGCAGCACCTGTGGGAACTGGACTCCACCAGACTCCCTCTAAAAGAGTATACAGTAGAGTCATTCTCTTGTGTTTTCCCTCCCTAAATGAAAGTCAAATCTGAAAGCTCCTGTTAAAGGCTGGCATCTCTCAAAATGCTAGCTGTCAAACACTCAATCCAGGAGACTGCCACAGATTTAAACACGCCCTCACAAAGGGATCCCACTACCAAAAAAATCTAGAACATGGCAGACTAAGAATAAGTACATGGGTTTCTCTACAGTGGGTCTCCCTGATCTTGCGTGTATGTCTTATCTCAAAGAAGACAACATAGGGTATCTGTAAGATTTGCTTGGCCTTGGAATGCTTTTTGGATGAAGAGACTAGACTTTGGGATGCTCTGGTAGGTTTAGTTTGGTCATCTTTCCCAACCCACTGGCACCTAAACCCACAGCAAGTTCTACGTAGAGAACAAATATTCAATACCAATTACATCAAAGTAAGTAGGCCACAGCACCCTACCTGCCCCCAAACCACCAGCACCCAGGACACTCTAGGCTGAGTGATAGGTTCAGTTCTGCTCTCACTGTGATGCACCTAATGCTTTGAAATAGCTGCCCACCTTGACGTGGCTCCTGCCCCTGCAGGGAGCGGACACCTGACATTGCAGCCTCTTGCCTTGCTTGATCTTTTATAGACCCTTTGTCTGCACCTTCTTCTGCTCCATTTACTCATTGTACTTACTCAGCAAATATTTAGTGATCGCTTTCAGTGTGATTGGCACTAGGTTGGGCACCAAGCCTTCAAGACAAGTACAAAATGGTCCCTCCAGGACTAAGACACAGGATAACAATCATTTCAATGCTACAACCAGCAGCAGCTTCTTTACCATTATTTAAAAGTATAAAAGAAGTTCGTGATGACAGAAGAGACAGCATCAAGCAGGGACTGGTCCTGACCCTCGGGGAGTGGGAAATCTCAAGCAGAAAAGCTAAGGAAGACACAGATCTCAAGTCAGAAAGTTGTTCACATCAATCAGCATTGATGGCCAAATGCATGTAGGGGAGGCACACACAGGGGTCAGTAACTAATGGCGAAGTCAGCTGATAAAAGGGTCACAGCATATTACAACCATCAGCACTGTGCCCCTGTTCCACCCCCAACCCAAGAGGAGCTTCAAAGCACAAGAGTTATATTTAAAAAAAGAGAAAATGAAAAAGTAAAAAAAAAAAAAAAAGTGGGAGGTGCTGGTTAGAGATAATGACTTATGGAAAATATTTTATGCAGAAATATAGGATGAAATCTGATTCGAAACCTTTCTTAATGTGGTTTCTGTCTGGATTTAACTTGGGAAGTTCATAGTGTGATTGACAATTTCAGCCATAGAGTCATGAATTTGGGGGGCTGAGTGATGCCTTACGGGGGTGGCCTGCCATGTTTCACTACATACCCCTGTCTGGAAAGGCCACCTGTTCCTTCCATGGAACCCACGATTCCAGACTCCCAAGTTGTGCACCTGCCCTGATCCACCCAGCCCCACCTGACATCCCACCCCCAATTCTGGCTTCAGCTGCTCGCCCGCTTCCTTCCAGAGTGGCCCCAGGAGGCCTCAGGCTATTTCTTTGGTCCTCAAGTTCTTGCTCCATTTATTCCTGCTCCTGGGCCTGACAACAGAGGCTCTAGCTCAGCCGAGTGTCACAAGCCCATAGTCAGGGAGAACCCCCACCTCTCGGGGCAAATGGTTCCCCAAGGAGATGCTAACACAGGACCAGCAGACCAATGCTGCTTGTGCCTGTCTTCCAGATCCTTCTGAGACCTGTTCCCAGAGGCTTCTCCAGATGCATCCTGAGCAGCAGAGGCACCCTGGGTGTGCTTGGGCAGCTGTGGCTAGCTGTGTGGCTAGCTTGGTAGTAATTCTTCCTTCCTGACCTCTCTTCCCTTTCTCCTTCACTCTCGCTATCTTAGAAGTCCACTCCTCCACGAAGTGTCCCCATATCAGCTTCTGCCTAAAGCTCTGCTTTCTGGGGAATCCAAGTCCAGACTGGGGTGAGGACAGGGAGTGGAGGGTATAGACAGGCCAAGGGTGCAAGACCCTGCGATCCTCCTTAGCTTTACCAAAACAGTCTTCCCTGAGTCCATGCATTAGAATTCCATATAAAATTTCATTTGAATAGAGTTCCACTGTGCACACATTAGAATATTCCTTAAATCACTGATCCAGATCAACGCATTGTATCATTGGTGTCGCTGAAAACTTAGGTGATGATTCCCAAGACCCCTTAGCTGATAAGTGACACAGCTGGGATTATTTATATCTACCTGCCTCCAAAACCTCACTTTGCCACAACACCCATGCTTTTTCTTCAGGGGACATACCTGAACATCCAGGATTCTGTGGAAATATACATATGCCCACCCCCACCCCACCCCCACCAGGCCCCCTCCCCACCCCCGGCACCCCAGGCCCTCTCTGCAGCCTTGGAACCACTGGGCAGGAATGCTGAGCCGAGATGGACCATCTCCCGATCTGGCAACATTCTGCTTGAAATCCCAGTATCCACACAACTGCCAGAACCCAATGTGGGTGTGTGTGTAGCAGGAACATTCAGCCGAAATTGTTTTTACAGAACCAACCCCTTGATTCACAGGCAGGAGCAGACAAGAGAAAGCGCTTGCTAGTCCAACATTTCTCAGGGGATCCCCAGGGCATTCCCAGGGCCACCACAGAGAATAGCTGCCTTTCAGGGTTCACACAATCCATGAGTGCACTGAAAGGCTCTGCAGAGTCCCACAAGGGACCTCTTCAGGCTGAACCTACACTCAGGGTTTCTCAAACTGTGGAACCAGGTGTGTGACCCCTCTTCATGCCCACAGAGTAGACTCTGGGAAATCCTGGCCTGTTTTAGGTCAGGGCAAGTCTGAGATGGAGTGGAAGACCAGGAATTCAGAATATCTCACACTGGCTGGGCCAGCGACACCCCGCGCTGCTGCCCCGACCCCCACTGTCTACTGCAACCACAGGAGGAGAATCCATCAGCAGCTCCGCTTTGCTCGCTTTGCCTCCTCGTGACCTCTGGGCCAAAGCCAAGGAGGGTTTGTTCACCCTTCAGTGGGAGGCCCCGCCCTACCCGAGGGAAGGCAGCTGGGCACGGATGAGACGAGTCGAATTCACATGTCAGATGTGAAACTGATCTTGAGCCAAAACCAGGAAAGCCTTTGACCTGGCTTTCCTTCCCGCAGCTTCCTCTGCTGGTTCTCTCCCCACTTCCTAAGGAAAACACTCTTCCCGGGGAGGCCCAGGAATTGATTCTGCGAGTCGGCGTGGAGCACATCGACTGTGGAGACAGGATCCTTTCAGCTAGTGATCTGTTTTGTGTTGGAGTGACAAAACATTCCAAAAATCCAATTTGCTGTTGCAAATCCTGGTTCATGGAGAAGACACGGTGGAGGGGGTGGAGGACAGCTGGTGGAGCGGGCAGGGAGAACAGGCCCGGATCCCACACACCTGTCGGTGTACATCAGAGCGGGATGCCACATCCCACAAGGCCAGTCCCTCCCCGGGGCTGCCCCAGAGGGGAAGTGGCGAAAACTTCCAGACATGCCCTGCTGGCCACCTCGAGTGTGACAGAATCTCCGCTCACCTCACAGTAGAGAGGAGAGCCCAGTAAGTAATGTGCAGAACAGAAGTTTGCCTTTTGGAGGAAATAACAACAAACAAGTAACCATAAGGGGCTCCCCAGTGGCTACTCCCTAAAATGTCCAGGCCTGAAAGACAGATCAGCAGCTTAGACTTGGTTCTGGGGTGGCTCCCTCGGGGCCTCCCAGTCCATACCTCTCAGAACCCCAATGTCCTTCCCACTTAAGTGCTGCACTTACCAGGAGCTATGAGATCACACACACACACTCTCTCTCTCTCTCTCTCTCTCTCTCTCTCACACACACACACACATAGGTGGCAATTTCTAGTGAATCTCACCTCCAACTACCATATGGGGCAGGCACTCTGGTACCAACCCCCCCCCAGCACCCCAGCATGACATACACAGGCAGGACTCCAACTCTGGAACCCTAGAGCCACTGAGTGAATGGGCAAACAAGTGTTGAGCACCTACTGTGAGCATCCTGCCCCAAGAGTGAAAACACCATCTGTCACATAGCCCCCTGGGACCTGGGGCCTTCTGCCTTAATTCCTCCACCATCCAAATGGGCACAAACAATCCCTACTTTACAGGAATTGGAAGGATTGGATGAGAGTATTGTTTCCATGCACAGCAAATTCGAAGCCAAGGGAAAACTAGATTCCTACCTGTGCAAGTCTCAGCCACACAGAATCAAAAGCAGAGATCAGCTCTCATCCATTCCTCCTTTGCTCCTCCAGGAGGGAATGAAAGTTGACAAGAAGCCGGAGTCCACCTCAGGGACTGAGCACTGTGCTAGAAGGATCCAAGCAACTTCCCAACTCACCAACAGTCAGCGGTAACATTTGCTGAATGGAGACATTCAGGCTAGGAGGATAAATAGATTTGCCTGGGGCGAGGGGGGGTGGGGGAAGCCTTGGGTCACAGAGTAGTGCCAGGGAGAAGCCCAGCTACTGTAAACTACCCCAGCATGCTCTCCCCAAAAGGGGGAGGCAACACGCTCCTCTAAGCACAGATCTTGTAGGGAAGCAAAATGCACAGTGATGAGGCGGGACATCAGCTGGGTGAGCTTGGGCAAAGTCCTTCCTCTCCTGCATCTCAGTTTCCTCCAGGAGGAAATGTGGAGAGTCCTAGTCTCTGCCTGTCTGGGCAGTTATGGGGAGGAAATGCACCAACACGTACAAATTGTGCAAACTTCTTAATTGATGCCTCCTCCCAGTAAGTGCCAACGAAGTATTAGCCATCATCATCACAATCATTATTCCTTTCCGTTCTGCTGCTTTCGCGAGGACACATACTCAAGTCTTCACTGTCTCTTCCCTGGGGAGATTAACGCCGCAAGATCATCAGGATCAGGACCTGGGGGTCCACACATACTCACTCGGAACTTCAGGCTTCGGATGCTTTTCTTTCAAGCCCCCTCCTTCTGGAACAAGGTCTCCACTCTGGGAATTAGGATCCCCTGCCAGCCTCGGCTTTTAAGACCCATCTCTTACCACTTAGCAGCAGAGCCCCCTTCAGTCTCCCTGCTGACTCCACTTCCTGCCACAAGCCAGCCTTCCAGCCAGACCAGCCAGGAGGGGAGGAGCAGAGAGCAAGGAATCCAGACGGAGGGGAGCAGGTGGGAGTCGTAAGGGAGCGGCGGGGCTCACAGTTTCTAAAGAGGCGGTGCGTGTCCGCGGGGCTCTGCCTGGCCGGAGCATTGCTCAATAGAGCCTGTAGGGCAATTACCCTAATCATGTGCATCTCCCAACAGCCCTTTGATTTATTAGCGCCTCGTCTTTTTAAAATGCCGCTCTTAAATATAAATAACACTTAATCATCCAGCTGTCGTTAAATTCATGTTATATTGATTTCTCAGAGTGCCACAAATTTGAGGGAGAACGGGCTGGCGGATATGCACACAAAGCCGAGAGGTGGATTAGCAAGGAGGGGGGGTGGGTGGAGAAGAAAAGCAAAGGAGGTTGGGGTTGGAGAATAGGGGTGTCAGGGGAGGGAAATGAGCTCTGCTCAACCAGCCCCCAGGGTCCAAATCAGTTTCACGTTGGGTAGCAGTGGACACAAATAAAGAGCAGAAAAGAACCCAAAAAATGGCACATCTGTTGCACAGACTAATCACTACCGCTTCCTCCCACAGCCGGCCCTAGAGCCTCGCCAACAGGTCTTCTGTGAGGCATTGTCTGTGCAGTGCCTTCTCTGGCGAGGAGCAGGCTAAGAAATGCCCCCTAGCTGGCTAGCAGGAGAGTGATTCGCTGCGATTTCTTTGCATCAAAGTCTGGTAATAACTAGGAGCTAAGCGCAGTGAATCACCCCGCCCCCTTAGCTCTCTCCCCACTTCAGGCGGCTGCTTCCCTCGAAAGCCCCCACTTAATTCCCAGCAGCCCTCATGGTGATTAAGAAGATCAGGAGGCCAAGCATAGGCAGACTCTGCCATGTAGATTGCCCTGTCTGCAGACCAGCCGCGGCAGCAGGCAAAGGACAGGGGCAGGGAAGGAGAAAGGAAAGCAGCGGGCTGCCTCAGATTCCCCTGGAATTGTTTGCAGAGCATTGGTGGGATTCCAGGACGAAGTCCTGGGGGGCCAGAGGCCAACCTGAGAGTGAGCATGGGGCCCGGCAAGAAGAAACAGCTGGAGCCGCCCACACCTGCCTCCCGCAGGAGAGGCGCTGGAGGACAGCCTCCTGGAGCAAAGGTGCGCCGAGAAGTATTTCTGCTGGGGGGCTCCCAGGGAGGCAGACCCCAGATAACTTCAAGGAACGCCACTGAGAGTGGCAGAGAGGTAGAGTGACAAAATGACAAGCTCCAGGGCTGGGCAAGAGGGCAGGAAAAACTGAGATGGTGCACGCTCAGCTCTACACGGATGTTAATTAATGCCTGCTTTGTCCTAGAAACCGAACTGGTACCTAATGCTAAGTGCAGGAAGTGTGGGGATTTTTTGAACCCAGGCTCAAAAATGTTTCATCTCTAACCGGCATGGGGATGGCTGGCTTTGCATATAAAAGATGCGTCCTGAGGCTGCAAATACTGGAAAAAGCAAAGGGGAAAGAGAAGACCTCTGCTGGGGACTCCGCACCCCATGCTTTAGCTCCTTTGGGTCCCCTGAGGCAATGTTTACCTGGGAACCACCCAGTTGCTAGAGTTCACTATTTCTGTTGCAAACCATGTGCCGTACGGACGCGGGGCCTCCCTATCCACGCGCTCAGGGGGCATGCATGTGGAAATGCCCCAGCTCTCCCACAGCCCTGAGGACAGAGGTGGGTCCCGTTATCACACACGGTTGGACAAGCTCAGCACGACCATTGCCAGGCTCTGAGTGTGCGAGTGTCTCTCTGGGCGAGTGTAGGTGTGCACACACCCGCCATTCTTAAAAAGAAAATACTGTGTCTTCCCCTACTAGGTTCTCCCCATTGTGAGAACCCTGCCTTATTCCAGCTATCCTTTTCAATCAATCAAAGGGCAGCTCACACAGCACACAGCAGGAATATAATCTCCCTCCCGGGGCCTCAGCTCCTCTCCTGCCCAGCCTAGCCAGAGACCTTGGCAGGAGCAAGAAAAAGTTTGAAAATAGCAGAGATGGGGGTGCAGAGAGAGCCCTTTATTTCAGCATCCATCTTCAAGATTCACAGACCCCACCAAATCCTGTGCCCAGCACTGAATTCCCCTTGCTCAAAAGAAGGACGACTCCTTACCCCTAACGTTCTGGAAGCCTCCCAACATATGTTTCCCGCTGGCGAGTTTGTAGGGCACTGCTAACACATGACTCTATGCCGCCAGTACAGCTTATTCCATTTCTCGCCAGCTTGCCCGCAAGCGACCTCAACCAGGGACGGCTAGAGAAACACGACCTGCTACATTTTTGTTCGACTCCAAAATAATATTTTATTTGGATCTCTCATTCTTGTCCCTACAATGGCTGAGCCCTGGAACAGTTGCTCTTTGACCCCCAAACGGGAATGGTAAAAGAGCCTTGGAGGAAGCCAACCACCTCCTACCTCTTCCAGAAACAGTTTGAAAATGGGCAGCCTGAGAAACTCCAGGTAGGGAAGAAAGGAGAGAACCTTCAAGTACAGGTTTCCAGAGAGCAATTCTACACTGGCAAGAGCAGCCTGGCTCTGGGGCTCACTGGCAGACTGGACCACCTGGCCTCCTATAGGGTGGACACTGTCTGAGTAGTCATGAGTGAGGGGGGCTTCCTCCCTCCCCTGCACTGCACCCTCTTGGATTCCCTTCTGATTCTTTTTCTCAGACTCACACCTAGAAAGGTGTATGACAGGTATTAGCCGGAGGCACAGGGAAAGCAGTCGGGGCTTTTCCTGGCACACTGCAGGGAGACTAGGGGCTGCAGGGGAGACCCAAGTCCTGTGTCCTTAAGCACAGTCACCTCACTGTTGCCCAGAGGCTGGAGATGTGACCAGGTCCTGGACGAGCCCCCCTCTGTGATGCTTAAGCCCCTTCCTGCCTGCAACCCCGGCGCATTCCCCGGAAAGCAGTGAGTGCCACGCTTCACCAAGGCGGTGGTGCTGCCTCTTACTGGGGAAACGCGGTGTCTGTTCCACATGCACCGCCCTACAGAACTGCACCCCCAGTCGCCTATGTGGCCTCTTCTCCGCGCGCTGGGCCACGGAGCTCTCCAAATCTGCGTGGATATCGGTGGGTCGATCCGTCTCCCATTAAAATATCGGGGTGTCCAAAAGCCACGGAGCAGAGAGGCGCCTGGGCGGGCCTCCCAGATCTCGCCTGACTTCTCCCCTTGGAAAGCCCAGACAGGGGATGTTAGGAGCTGCGTCCTGGAAAAACCGCTCCCTTAGCCTACCCCGCTCGGAGGAAGAGGCAGCAACCCACAAAATGCACCCTGAAAGTCCTGGGTAACACAAGTCCGAGTCGGGTAGCGTCAGAGAAAGAACGCGAGGGGTCTACCTGCGGCGACCGCGCGGCACCGACGCGGGTGTCCAGGTAGGACGTGGGCAGGTGCGTGTGCGCGGCGTGTGCCTGTGTGTATTCGGATGCGTGTGTGCGTGTGTGCGAGTGTGTGCGTGTGCGTGTGTGTGAGAGTGTGCGTGTGTGTGTGTGTGTGCGCGTGCAGCGGGCTGGCTCCAGGGCAGCCGAGGACTCCGGCTCCGGCTCCGGCCGGGCATCTCCGCCCGCGCGGCCCGCGCCCTGCGCCCGCCCCGCGGGCCGGCTCCTTACCTGCAAGCGCCGCTCGTGCCTCCTTCAGCGGGCGCGCCGCATTGACACTGCAGATGGAGCCCGAGCCGCCGCTCTCGCCCTCCTCCGGGCGTGTGCGTGTGCGCGCGTGTGGCTGCCTCCTCCAGCCCCAGCCCCAGCCCCGAACGCAAATACTCCGGCGAGGCGCCGGGAGCCCGGGAGGAGGCCAGGAGCGCGGAGGGCGAATCAGAGTCGGCGGGGCTTGATAGCGCCTCTCGCCGCGTCCAAGGTGGGCAGAAGGTCCAGCCAAAAGGTCGGGCGACGGGGCTCGATTCCCAGCGCCCCCGCCTCGCCCCAGCCCCGGAGCCCGAGCGGCGGCGGCTCCCGGGTCCGCGGTGGCGCGGCGGGCGGCCCCCCCGCGCGCCCACCCCCGCGGGCTGGATGTCCTTGATGCCAGGCGGGCACGGCGGCGTCACTCCGCGCCGCCCATGCTCGCCCGGCCGGGCCGCTGCCCGGGCGCGGCGAGGACCAGGGGGACCCGCCGGGGAGCGCTCTCGGCGCCTCCGCGCGCCTGCCCGAGCCGCGGCGGCCGCCCCCCGGCTGCCCGCGCCCGGCCGCGCCGCTGCTGCCCGCGCCCCCGCCGGGGGACCCGCGGGGCAGCGCCGAGGGGCCGGGGCTGGGGGGCCGCGGGCGCCGCCGGCGGCTCCCCGGGGAGGCTCGGGGCTGCGGCGCCGGCGGCGGGCGCTGCGGCGACGGAGAGCGCGGCCGCGGGCGGAGCCGGGCCTCCCGGGCGCGCCCCCGGCCCCCCGGGCGAGCGCCTCGCAAAGTTTGCAGGGGGCAGGGAGCGGGGCCGCCGCTGGCTCGGCCGCCGCCGGAGCTCCCGGGCTGCCTGCTGCCGCCGCGGCTCGCTGCTGCTGTGCATTGAAGCCCGGCCAAGCGCTGCAAAAACTCCAGCTGCCTGGCGCTCCCTGGGTCCTCCTCTCGCTCGCGCCCGCCCTCCCCGCTTCCCGTCCTCCCTCCCTCGCCTCCCGCCTCCCCTCCCCGCGCCCGCCGCTCCCTCTCTGGCTCGCGCGGGCTGCCTGGGAGCTCGCGCCGCGCCGAGACCGACCCAGAGTGGCCGGCAGAGGGGGCCGGGGGCGCCTCCCCCACGCTCCGCGGCAGCCCGCGCCGGGCCGGCTCGCCCCGGCCCCGACGGGAGGGGACACCCCCGCGCCTCGCCGCCCGCCCCGAGCGACCGACCCTGCCGGTGGCCTGGAGGGGCCGAGGGCGCAGGGCGACCACGAGGGCGCAGCTCGCGCTCTGCAACCCCAGGGAGGCTCCCGCAGCCACCTGGGAAGGTGGGGCTGCGGGCGCTGACGTTGGAGGGACCCGCAGGTGTTGAGAGCCGGTGTGAGCGCGCGTGCACTCTGCACCAGCACCCCAGCAAGGCACCCCCGCACTCGAGGTCTGAGTGGGGAGCAAATGGCCAAGGGCCCTGGAGCCTCCTGTGACCCAGACTTGGCTAGTGGCCTCTGTGTCAAGAGTCTGACCTGAAGCCCGGGTCCTAGGCCACAGCCTAAACAGACAATGCCAATGTCAGGGCTGTTGCTGAAGTGCAGAGAAAGAAATGATGGTGCTGCTGGGGTTAGATGCGGAGGGAGTAGCCAGGATGAGAGGTGGGGACTCTTACCTCTGGCACCTCTGCCTAGACCCTCCTGGACAAGATCCTCCTAGGCCCCGCCTAGACAAGTGTCCACCCACCAGAAGGCTCAAGGCCCCCCTCATTTACTTAAGGTCCCCCTGTCCACCGCTACCACAGTCCCACTGAAACACACCATCAAGTGTGCCTAAGTACCTCCCCCAGGGCACTTAGCAACCATCAGGGATTGAGCACCCTCTAAAGGAGCCCATGGTTTGGCCCCCTGCCTCTACCCCTTCTTCAGCTTACCTTTCCCCACATCCATTCCAGCACCTCCCTGCCCATTCTGGTCCCTCCCATCAAACAGCTCAGAATCTTCCCACTTGGTGGACATGGTTGACAACCACACAAATGCCTACAACTTCCCATCCAGGCTACATCGTCCCAGAAATTAGTTCTAAACTGGAGATATTTTGCTTTTGTTTTTTAAAGATTATTTATACATACAAAAACTGGGGTATAGGCCAGAAGTGTGGGGGGCAAGTGGATTCACCAGAGACAGAGTGGGGAGCAGAACAGGCCGAATGACTGAAATACACTGCTGAGGACAGCAGCAGGCAAGTCAGGAGAGGTCTGTTGCACCGTGTGGGTATCTCCCTGGCCAGGAATCGAACTCATGCTGCAGTGGCTGCGGACAGCTTCATAGATTGCGCCTTAACCCCTTGAGCCACCAGGGAGGTGCTGTGAGCTGCCTAAATGCGCAAGTCCAAGGTGAGCAGCACAGGTAGGCCAGGCAGGAAGGACCTCGCTGAAGCCTTGCCTCAGGGGTTGGGCCTCCAGAAGGAGATGATTCAAGTCAGAGAGAGGCAGAAACCAGACATAGGCTGCTTGGCTAAAGGGTATTTCAGGAGACAGAGTGGAGCCCTTTTAGCCTCTGGTTCCCCGCCGAGTACTGCAGGGCCCGTAGCAGCAAGGAGTTATCTTATTAGCTTGCCTTAATACATTGATCTGGCTCCTCTCTTCTCTGAAACGCTGGATCCCAGACTCTAGATAAAGCACACAATATCAGGTTAGTTTCGGAAGTCCAAGGAAACACATAACAAAATAACTCGATGCTGTTGCTTGGATCTCCACCACTGGAGCAGAGGAAGCCAGGGCCAAATGTCTCTTGAGGCTGGACCGAGGCCAGGGGAGTTAAACCAGGCACTCAGAAGGCAAAATACAAGGTGCGCTCCCCCTGAGGCTGGTGGAAGCTCCCCTGACCCTGTGGTGTCCTGGCCCACTTCTAGGTTTCTTTGAACACCCTCCACACACAGGGCCATCACAGCCCTGTCCGGGGGTGACAGCCCTTGTAGCCCCACGGTACTCTCTCCTGAGTTACTTAAGGAATATGGTTCAATAAAAGCAGATGTGGGGGGGCGCTGGTTCTTCCAAATGTCTGCTTCCTTGCCACTCGCCTTTCAGGGTACACCATAAAAATGCTGAAGGGGAGGTGGAGTGACAATGCAGCCCTGACTGTACCCTCAGCCATTCTTGGGGTGTATTTTTAATACAACTTGGGTTTTGTTTGTTTTGGTTGTATCCCTGGTAGCCTTTGCGTGTGCATGCCTGCATGTGTGTGTGCAAATATTGCTGGTGAACCCCCACCCATTTTCTGATGGATGGATGGGAAGTCAAAGACCTTTTTTTTTTTTTGAGGTGGCAAATAAAATGTATTTATTATGCTTTATCTCCTGCCTAGTGTGTGGTGTCATTTATTTTCATTCAGAGAAATGAATGCCATGTGGTGCCTGAAGAGTAATGACAGAACCAAATGACAGGGAAGTAGTGAGGCAAAAAGCTGGCCCAACAATGGGTAAGTGAGACCCCCCTCCCCCGACTCTCCCATTGGAGATGGGGCCAAATGCCCAAATGCTTTCTTTCTCTCTCCCTCCATTTAATAAGGCAGCTAGAATGTCATCGTCAGGGAGGGTCAAATTAGCCACCGCGTGGGACCTGATTTTTTTTTTTTTTCAGTTGTGATGGTCCCTTGAATTTGCTCTCTCAAGGCTGGGGGTGAGAAGGGGCAGGATGAGTAGGGTCCTTATCCTGTCTCTGCCACCCACCAGCTCTGTCAGTCGAGGCAGATGGCGCTCTCCCGCATTTACTCCTTAGAGATAGTGAATTCAAAGGAAGACGCTAGCTATTCATGCACCCATGTGCTTGGAAACTCTAAGGGAAGTGCAATCTACATGGAAGGAATTAGCATTGCTTTTCAGAAGAACATATTGTTTTTTAAATGGCAAGCACAATGAGGGTGGGTAGGTCCCTTGTCTTGACTTGACTCTTCTCTATGAATAGGCAAGCTAGGAAAGGCAGCCTCCATAGCAGCTTAAAATGGGTTTCTGCATTAGGTACAAACCCTCCTAATTCTCACACCTTCCCCACCCCCTGCCAGCTGGTGAGGGGCAAGAGCCACAATCTCCCTCCTGCTCACAGTGGGTCTGTAAGTCACCCACTCTATCTCCCCCTAACCTTGTGGGGAGGCTGGGCATATTGCTTCACAAAGTCCTACTTTCTAAGGAGGCTATATTTGTGGCAATTTGGTGGTGGTTTATTGAGGGATTTTAGCAGAAAAATATTGGCTCATCTCTCATGGCTGAATAAAAGGGCCAGATTTAATAGGAGAGAGGAGAAGAAATCCTTAAGTTTTCCTTCACTTAGCTACCACCATTTTATTAGCCTAGGAACAGAACTGCTATTTAAGTTGATAAAAGCCAGATTTGCTCGTTAAATAAATCACCAGAGCCTGGTGGTGCTATGGAGAAATTTTTTCCCCCAAGAGCTGGCCCCATGGCTGGATTTTTCTACAGTGCACACAGTGCGCTGGAGAACAGCAGGCAGCCGCAGCTTAAAAACCTAAATTGTGGCGCCACCTGCAGGAGAGGAGAAATATCAGCATTATCCCAACTAAGACCCAGGAAGGGAAGTCTCCCAAAGTGATACAGCTGAATCCCTGCTGGCAAAAGGAAGGACCCCAACTTCCCACTGAGCCCTGCTTCCCAGGTGTGACACCAGAGGCTACTCGCCATTCCATCAGTCTTTGATCTGCCTCCTCATTGGATGCTGCCGTTTCAAGGTATCAGTATCCACTCTCGAGATTTTCAATCCATGGAAGCAAACTTACTCTTTCCTGTTTCCTAAAGTGTTAAGTAAACCTCTAATACTGGGGTTCTGTTTGTTGAGGGGACAATCTATAAAACAGTGAAACTGGGCAAAGAAAGGACTGCTTAGGAGGAAGTGGGGCAGGAGCATCCCCGAGTACCCAACCCA